GGGGGGGGGGGGGGGGGGGGGTGTTGTCATACCCACCAATTATACAAAATTGAGTCCCCTTGACCTAAGAATGCTCTAGACTAAATAAGGATAAAATCCCATAATCACGATGGTCAAAGAAGGATTTTAAAGGTTTTACCTCTATTTCTCCTATTGGGCCCCGCCCCTCAGGTCCCAGGGGGGCCACACCCACCGTTTATACAAAATTGGTTCCCCTTTACCCAAGGATGCCTCAGACCAAATATGGAACAAATCCTTTCATTCCTACAGAAGAAGGATTTTAAAGAATAACTTGCTATGTTTTCCCTATTTGGCCCCGCCCCTCAGGCCCCTGGGGGGGCCACACCCATGGTTTATACAAAATTGGTTCCCCTTTGAAAGAATTTGTTATATTCCCCTTGTTTGGCTCAGCCCCCAGGGGGGCCAGACCTACGGTTTATACAAAATTGGTTCCCTTTCACCCAAGAATGATTCAGACCAAATATGGAACAAATCCTTTCATTCCTACAGAAGAAGAAGGATTTTTAAGAATTTGCTTTATTTACCCTATTGGGCCCCGCCCCTNACGACGGACGGACGCTGAGGTATGGCATAAGCTCACCATGGTCTTTCGGACCAGGTGAGCTAAAAAAGTAGTTCCTACTTCCTCATTNAAAGTAGCGTTTTAAAGGAAAAGTTGACGGATGGATGACGGACACTGCGGTATAGCATAATATAGCTCACCAATGGTCCTTCGGACCAGGTGAGCTAAAAATTGAGATAAAATATTGAATGGTTTTAACCTGATAAATCAACTGAAGAAGTGCCGTCTGATAAATCTACTGTACTTCAAGAAGTGTTTTTTGACAAATCAACAGCACATGGAAGTAGAGTTTTCTGATAAATCTACTGGTTTTTTGAGAAATCATTTACATATATGTATGTGCCTGATAAATTTACTTCAGAAGACATTATGTCTGATAAACTAATAAATGTTTAAAAATCCTGGATCCACTACCGGCATGCAGACCATGTACTCTATTCATTGTGATACACTAGTACTATATATGATAAACTTGCTGAACTAAAATCGGAATGGTCCATACATTTCCATTATATTTTGAATATTGATTCGTGATCCAGCAAAATTAGATTAGATTAACTATATATATATACAATTGTACAGATATTTTGAAAGAATATTTCAGTCTTCTTCAGCGCATGTCAGACCAGATATTAACTTAGGCTTGATCATTATACTGCATGTAATATGTATTTGGAGTGAACAGTTTCAGTTTTTAACATGTAGTTTAATTTGTAAGGCTATTTTGCAAAATTCTACAAGCCGTAGCTGTACTTTCATAGTAAATATCCAAATTGTGTCACTCATCACAACATAAAACCTACTAGCCCTGGGTGTCATGCAGATGGAAATGTACACCATTGAGGTACATGTATATATAACGGTGGACTTTATATTAGGTATTAGGTATGAGATCTTGGACATTGTTAACCTTACTTTTGATCAATAAATAAAGTGCGAAACAATTTTGGATAGCATAAAAAAGGTACCATTACGTGAAAAACACACGTTAAAGTGCATGATGATAGAATGGAATGGATGTCTAACCAAATATAACTATACATAATATTTTAAAAGATGTGGATTAATTAGGTTGCGTTACAAGCGTCGGCTATAGGGAATTTCCCTTTAGCTCAGCGGTAGAGCATCAGGCTTGAGAGCCAAGGGTCGTGGGTTCGAGCCCCAGCGACGGCACTATCTTTATCACTATTCCTCGTCCTACTACAATATAGGGTACATTTATGATTTTATATTAACTAAAGACTTTAAACAAAAAATTACAACAGTTTTACACCTTTATGACATATGATATAAATACCTTCAAACTTAAAAATAACAAACATATAATAGTACATGAAGATACAGAGGTTGGAAAAGTCATATTGATCACAAGAGCGAACGACAGAAACAAATAGGGAGAGACACAGGAACCAAGAACCCCTTTGAGGGGCTGCCTACAGCAACCATTAACTCATTCACCCCTGAAGACACATTTGAACTCTTCCAATTCAATTCAAAGGTGGGAATAGTTCATTATGAAATTTCAGGGGTGAATCATCAGTTAAGGGAGAAACGCAGGGACCAATATCTATAGGCAGAGACACACTATGATGACAAATTGGGAAAACCACATAGTCCATTAGGAAGAGCCACAAGGCACAAAAGAAATAATCACCATGACAACTTATATAATTAGGGAGACCCATATAGAAACTAGGGAGTGACATGAATGCTATAGTGAGTCATGTCACAGGGACCACTTTAAAGACCTACAGGGATCCCTAAGGACGATGTCTCAGGAGCCATTTACTAAAGCTAGAGACACAATGCAATGTCTAATAGGATACATTACATTACCTACTTTTGGGATCCACAGGAGCCTCGGGGACCATGGCCACTTGGAGGACCAAAAGGGGCCCAAGGGAGAGCCACTGGAACAGATTGGAGGAGCCACAGGGACCACTGATGAAGTCTCAGGAACTAATAGAGGAATCCACAGGGGTCATATGGACTGCAAAAGTGATAGGGGCCACTAGTAAGGTATACAAAGACCCATAGGGAGAGCCATTGGATCCAGTTGAATGAGCTTCTGTGACTGCTAATGGAGTCGGGAGCTATAAGTGGAAACCACAGGGGTCATATGGACTGTAAAAGTGATAGGGGTCACTAGGAAGGTCTACACAGACTCCCAGGGGGAGCTACAGGGACAAAAGGGGAACCACAGAGACTGATAGAAGGAACAATAGGGATCAATAACTATAGGGGCTATTATAAGAAATCACAATGGTCAAAGAAACCAGTAGGTTCAACATTGCAGTCACAGAATCTGTAAGTGTTGCCAAAGGGACCTCAAGGAAGACCAATAGAGGGAGCGATAGGGAGTTCCCCGGACCACTAGCTATACCGGCTATTACAGGAAATCACAAGGGTCATAGGAACAATAAGGAAATCTAGAGCTAAAGGGACCAATAGGGTAATAAGGGTTAAGTCACTGGGACAGACAAGTGTAGCTGAAGGGACCACCAAGAAGTGCCACATAGGCCACTTGGGGGAGCAACAGGGACCAATAGAGAGAGACATAAGTCCTAAAGGAGCCATACAGAGTCATGGAAACCACTAGAGGGAGCCATATAGACCACTAGGAGCAGTCACAGGGATCAATGATTACTAAGTGAAACCGTAGTGACTATAAGGTGGGGGTGGGTGTCCAAGGACCAATAGTGTAGGGATTGGTAGGAAACTAGGGACCACTAGCTATAGGTGGATCCATAAAAACCACTAAGGTCATTGGCATACATAGTACACATCAGAAATTGTATGATACAAAGACTGCATATAAAAAATATATAAACCATCCATTATATATACCATTATACATAAGTTATTTTAATTGACTTGACCACCTCCGTCTGTTTTTGGGTATCAATGTCTGTTGACACCGAAATCACAGAAATAGTCTGTGTGCCCATCTCTCCTGTCCCGCAAAACTCCTTCATTGACATGACACCAGACTTGACTTGCTCAACCCCTAGCACCATACCGGCCTTGACCCTTGTAGCCGCCTGAGATCCTGTGTCCTTGATTGTCATGATATATTGAGATCCAGACTCCCTCATACTGTGGACATGACAGCGCACTTTTTCCATCCTCCTTTCAAGTTGAATCTTAACCTCGTCCAAGGTACCAGAAATGTTTTGCCATCTCTCTTTTGATTCTACTGTTGGAGTGACGCATTTCTGTGGTGACGACCTTGAGGATTGACCCCAGCTTAATGGAGACTTGGAGTCGTCATAATCATCATCAGACTTGTAATGGCTACTAGTATATTCACAGTCATCAAGGATGGAGGAAGCCGCTGATATGTTTTCCTCAGAATCCATCCCTTTTTTGAGCTCATTTTGAGGATTTCTGCAACAACAGCAGCAGTAACAATGACAGGAACATGTCAATTTCTTGCAGCAGGACCTACACGTCTTCATAATGCCAACAAAGATGGCAATAACTAGCATCAGACCTGAAGAGGCAGCACCATAGATGAGACCCTCATAGAACACCGGCCGAATAGAACTGATCACCATGACGTTAATTGTTACATTGGTCTGACCACCCTTGTTGACTGCAAAACATGTGTAATCACCAGCGAAACTCCCATGGATATTGTCAAAGTACAAGCTTCCATCAATTTCTGCACGTACAACAGTATTCTTGTCTGTACACTCCACAGGCCAGACATACTCACGTCTGGCTTTTACACTAGAAATGTTCAAACTCTTCCAGTCCAGGCGAACAGTTGGATGGGCAAAAACCTGACCCCTGGCATTCTGCCAGTAGATTTGGGCGTGAGGAAATATGCTTGTTCCACAGGCCAAATATACATCATTCCTGACCAGGAAATTCCGATTGTGAGAAACCTGAGATATATTTGGCTGCGAGCAGGGTAGATCCGAGATAGGGACCTCCGACAATAACTTGTTATTCAAACTCTCAGGAACTAAGCAACGAGCTGGGTCATCGTTCACAAACTTCTGTGGCCTGGATTGTACGTATTTCAGTAGTGATTCCAACATACACGAACATTCCCAGTTGTTTCCAGAGAGAGACACTGAATGGATAGACGGCAAAACCTGTACATTGTCAAAACTCATCACCTTGATTTTATTATTGTCCAGTTTTAAAGATGTAAGTTTAAGTAGACTTTTGAAGACAGAATCATGGACATGACTCAGATAGTTGTGGCTCAAATCAAGGTGCGTGAGACTGGTCAAAGTGTCGAACACCTTGTCATCCAAGGTAGATAGCTGGTTATGACTCAAATCTAGGTTCTCCAGCAGACTCTGTTTCTCAAATGTTTGAGAATCAATCTGGCATATCACATTTCTACTGAGGTTGAGACTTCTTAACTTTACAGAAGAACTAAAATGTGGGTATTGCAAGAGGCTTATGTAATTCTGACTCAGGTCCATATCCACAACGTTTGGTAAATCAACCCAGCTTTTACAGAAGAGAGATACTAAAAAACTGTTTGTAAATTTTAGAGTTTGAATGGACAATTGTCCTTGAAATTCTTTGGGAATACAGGAGTAGTTTCCAGTCAACGTAAGATCTGATAGCAACAACTTTTGGAAGTTAACATCATCTAGAGAGGTCACACCGTACTCCAAGGTACAGTTCGTGTTGGAGTTTGTGTCACACTGACAGAATGTAGGACAACTGTTGGTGAGGACAGACTTTCCCAACTTCTCTGTATGTAGATCTGCTGCTAGGTACGCAGCTTGAACCACTTCCTGTATCAACAATACCAGGAAGAGCAGCACAACTTGCTGAACATCATTGAAAAGTCTTCTCCGTGTAACACCCATCTTGTGACAATCCTTTACCTAAAAATGTAAAGAATAATATGTTAACAAAATCATATTTAAACATGGTAATTTTTTCTAGTCTTATTTTCTGGTTTATATCTGTCCTTTTTGTTTTCCAGGTAGTTTTTTTTCTAATAACAGTGTCCTAATGGTACTAGTTTTGTCAAGAAAAGATATGACATGATCAATGTTTGCTTATTTATTCAAAATCCAACTTGTTCCGTTTAGATAAAACAAAGTGAGCAGATACTCACTAAGATACACCCACCCTACACACTCCCACACACACTTTGCTTTGTTTGTGTTTTACGTCCTATTAACAGCTATGGTAATATATGGACGTGCCAGGTTTTGATGGTGGAGGAAAGTCAGAGTTCCCTGAAAAAAATCACTGACCAACGGCCAGTACCAGGGGACTGCCCCACGTATGTTTTGAACCCGCGACCCAGTGGTGGACGGCTAGTGGTAGAAGAATGTCAGACGCCTTAACCACTTGGCCACTGCAGCCCCCCCACACACACACACTTTTTGCTGATATCGTAACCATTTTACCTTGACTGATGACCACCAAAATCTAATCAGGCCCCCTTCCTCGATATCCAGTTGAACCCCTGGAATTTGTCATAGCAAAATTGAAGGCACACGGCTAGCTATTTGATTGGTCTCAGGTAAAAAATCCTGACCAATCACTAGGCTGACGATTGTTCTTTGAAGATTACAGAGGAGCGACGCCCGACTTCAAAGCCAATAAGTTATACCGTTATGCGACCGCGCGATTCTTTTGATGTACATCAAACTGAAAGTATCAAATTAGTCTTCTCTTCTCGTCCACAAGGTGCGCATGCTGCACCCTGAGCCTTCAATTTTGCTACGACATATTCCAGGGGTGTAGAGAGCGAAAATAAGCGTAATCCCTGGGTAAATAAGCGTAATCCCTGGGTATTGAGGATGATCATGCAGGCCCAATGATCATGGAACAATCTTGAGTCCAAATTCGTCTTAAGTTTTGACTTAAGGATGTACACCTCTGAGAAGTCAAAAATGTCCTGTATTAAACTTTTTTTCTTATATGGATTTTTGGAAAAAAGAGTTAATGGCATAGAAGAAAATGCAAAAAAAACTACATGTCCGTGTGTTCGTTTTTGTGCTATGATCGGTCAAAGATACCAATTTAACACAACATGTGATTTTAGGTGATGTTTTTGGTTTTGACCATTTGCAGAACAAATTCATACAATTTCTTCCAAGTGTGTTATCAGATATATATATATGAATGTTTGTAGAAATTATGAAAATATTATTTTCTTTTAAATTATGGAAGTGCAGTTTCTTAATCTTATTCTTTTAACTCAGAAAGCCAATTTTAGTTAACCCTACCCACTATTTTTTAATGAAAAAATACTCATTTTTTACCAATTTTTTGCAGATTAAACGCTTGATATAAAAAGTTCTGGTATTAAACTTTTATTTAATATTTAATGAATTAAATGAAAATGTGTTTCTCTTTCTAAAACATCTACAACAAGCGGCCCATGGGCCTTAATGGTCACCTGATATATTTATACAGAGAGTTGATTTTGTTTTTAACACGAACAGAAATATTATTCAGTGACAAAAAACAATAAAACCACCTTATTCAATATCTAGCATACAGATTTAAGACGAAAAAGTCTTTGAAATTAGCCCCTCTGATTCTAAAAAAGGAAAATGAAGAAATTTTAGCACACTTACTCCTTTGGGCCCCACCCTACAGCCCTTGGGGGTAGGGCTGGCTTAAAATTTTCAAAGTATCAAACTGTAAACTCAGGGTTATAATTCCAATCAAGTTATTAACATGTAATATTCAAAGTATCATTTGCCATTATAAACCTTTTAAGACCCTTCCATCTAAGAAGAGTGTTTGATTCTACCATATCTGGGTCTTTGAGAAGATTTTTTTTTGAAATTTCAGTCATTTCAACCCTTTTTGGCCCCACCCATCAGCCCCGGTGGGGTCAGTCAGCGCTAATATGTGCATACCATCAAACTGCTATCCAATACTGATAATGCTAACCCAAATTGAATTACTTCCAATGAAAATTAAACAAATGTTGGTCCAAAATGTGATTTCCCTATATAAACTATAGTAAAGTTTACCCCTTTCCAGGGGGAAACGTGAGACCCCAGGATCATGAAATTCACAATTTCGGTAAAGCACCTTAAGACCCTTCCATCTATGAAGAGTATTTGATTCTACCATATCTGGGTCTTGAGGAGAAGATTTTTGAAATTTCAATCAATTCGACCCTTTTTG